GTGACCGCATTCTATTCGGCGGTTTTGTTTCGAGCTTTATCCTACTATATATAATCGGCTAAGCGGTTGTGTGTGTGTGTGTCTGACCGGAAATTCATAACTTCGCTCCCTTTGGACCCAGAGCGCTCAAACTTCTAGGATATATAGGGGGCCGGGCGTGAACACTGATAGTGGGTGGCGGGAAGTGATAACTACTGATAGGAGCTGATAACGGACGTCGAAATGTTGATGTCACCAATTTCGTTACGCCGTTCGCGTTGGCAGTGGATTGCTAGCACTCATGAATATTGTGTAGGGTAGGACTGGGACCCAAATGGTGAGCGAAGGAAAGTGATAGCAAATGATAAGGGCTGATAAAGGGCATCGGAATGCTAACGTCGTCATTTTCGCAACGCCCTTTGCGTTGATCCCTAAGATGTTCGCACTCATGAATATTATGTGGGGTGAGGCAGGGACCAAAAGGGTGATTGGAAGAAGGTGGTAGCAACTGATTAGAACTGATAAGGGGCGTCAAAGTGTGGATACCACCAGTTTCGTTGCGGCTTTCGCGGTGACATGGAACCTTGGCTGTCACATGTGGTATAGGGGATGGGACGGGAACACGGATAGTGGGTGATCAAAAGCGATAACAACCGATAACGGTTGATAAAGAAGTTAGGATTTTGAGTACCGCTGATTTCGTTGTAGCCTTCGTGGTGACAGTAAATATTAGCTCCTACACGCTACAAGATGGGACGGAGATACGGTGAATGTGGGTGACAGAAAGGGGTATGAAAGGCAGGTGCACTAATAAAAATAGCGACAATTGAGTGTGCACTCGGTTAAACTGAACCAGATTCCTAGCACGGGAATATGTTCCATTTCCACCCTTTCATCTAAAAAAGCAAAGGAAGTTGAGCTGCTCCACTATCTGGACTTGGACTAATAGCGAATAAAATCATATTTCCAATTTCCATCATCGGTTGATGCTGATTGATTGGTTATATTTCACTTACACACCGATTCTTCAATTGTGGGAATTCTATAAACCGCTAAATCGCCCGAGCTCGATATCAATGCTAAATGTTTACGAAGTCATGATAAGTACCATTTCATTCCGCATGCTACTGCGCGCATTACGCGACAATCTTCAGCGAAACTGGACAACCTTTAAACATCATGTGACACATCTTCCAAACATCTTACTGTTAGTTTCTCAGTCACGTGACCTAATATTCTGCAAGTTGTCCAGTTTCACTAAAGCCCACCATGATGCGCGCGGTTGCGTGCGGAGCTAAACTGGTTTCTATATAAGGACAATAGATGTTAGAAAGGGGCAGCACTTCCTTCAGAACTGGCCTTCTTTCCCTGACGACTGGAAGCTCCGATCTAAAGAGAAAAAGTAGAACGTTGACATTATTCCTTCCATTTCAGTCGCGGAGCAGAACGAGGTACATTGCAGTTTTCAAGCATGAATCTTGAGACGATGCTCGGCAATCTTTCTTTGTGCCCTTTTCAAACTTCGGCTATTCTCTGCCTCAGCTAAAATTAAGCTTCTCGGTCATGCGACCTAACATTCAGTCTGGTCCTTAATGAGGCCCACTTGCACGCGGGTCGCTATGCCGAGAGCTTTATTTTTAGCGGAGGCAGGAATAGCCCGAATTTGAAGGCACAAGAAAAAGAGCCGAGCGTTGCGGCTCAAAGGGTGGCGTGAACTGGCAAAAGGGGGAATCGGGGCGCCGGAGAGATGGGGGTGGTGGCATGGCAGAGATAAAACTAATGTCACTGCAATTTAGGCAAGTCAAGCGAGTAACAAGGAGTCGGTTCAGGACAATTGGGGAGCTTTTGAAACACCGTCACAGCTAGAGGCGCATCGAGTGGACTGCCAATAATGTGCGTACAGGCATTGATGAGCGGCCACTGAAGGACAAAAAGAGCCAAAAAATCGGTTTGAAATGGGTAAATTTTAGCAGCTTAGGATGATGTGTCAGACTCCCTTTTGGAAAATCACCTCCACATTAAAAGGTACAGGTGAGGATGATGTCAACGTGATATTTGCTCACAAGAAGCTTGCCAATAGTACATGATGGAGAAAGGGTAGAGATTTACAAACGCCGTCGGCATTATTGTACTAGCAGCTGGCTAGGGGTTAGGTGAATAGCGTGATAGGCTCGCACAGCACAGCAGGAAGACTTTGCAGGTCGACTCCGCTGCATTGGAAGCTTATGTTTTCGATTGTCACCTCCAAATCGTTATTGTATACCATTAGCGCCGAAATTGATGTTATATTCACAACCTGGTTTGCTCCGCCCGCTATCGCGCGCATCACAGGGGAGGGAGGAACCACGGGAATAGCAGCATCATGTATTCATTATGGCGCTGACGCTAAAAACAAACGCTACATCCATGATCAGGATCCTGATTTTCAGGCAAAAACTCGGGGAAAGTCGGGATACTGACCAACTTTCAAAAAAAGGGGGTTTGATCATGGCTTATTGTAGCTCGTCATGCGCCCCGGTATGTGATTTTCTGATTTTTTATTGGTGGGCGAATTTGAAGACGGAGGCTGGTCGCGGAATGTTCTGGTGATTTATCGCGAAATCGGTAAAAATCGTTTTAATTAGGGAGGGCCTTTTGTACTTACCTACAGTTACTCGGGTTCTCTTTTAGAGAGTCGCGCTTCTAGTCGTATGGTGAGATGAATGGCGTTTTTATGATAGTTTTTGATATGTAAGCGAGTAGGAGAGGCTAACGGTGGACGCAACATCGGTCTCGATGGAAAGAAGATATCGACTGCAACATTTATCGGTGATCTAAATGCTAATCACCATACGTGCTAGTGTTGAGGGTGGAGCTCATTGTCCAGTTCTGTAGTGGAACTCTCATTATTGGGAAGGATAAAGATTCGTTTTTCAGTTCACCGGCGGAGGTCACATGAGCTGCTTATCTGATTGTTCCATAGCCAATGTTTCGGGATCGTGGTGCAAAACAGGTCAATTCTCTGCTAACCTCGTTAAATAAGGATTATGAGGCGCCTAAACACAGAAAATGAATCTATTTGTTTCGACTAGCCCGTCCACAGATATAATGTGCCAACGGTTCTAGCGCTCAGTTTGTGCTCCTTATCTTTGGCGCTAGCTGGCGACTAAAACTTGTAATATTTTCCGCTTCGATGATATTAACCAGTTTAAATGACCAAGTGTTACAGTTACTGATGGTTTCTACAATAAACATGGCATCTAGTAGCGGCGTTGGCTGCTATTTATAGCAGATTTGGAAGCTCCGACCTAAAATGTAAAGATTTCATTATCACGAGGGATTAAACCTTGGACCATTTGTTTACCGTTTTCTGGCCTTCGCGGGACCGCTAGCGAAAATGGGTCTTTGTTTTGCAGTTCACGCATGGGTTCCTATAACATGCAAAAATGCGTTTTGAAAGAAGACGCTCCACATTGAGCGACCTCCCCTATAAAGCAACCTTTTTTCGACGTAGACAACCAATCACTAAAAGGTGCCTGAGGGTAATCGCGATTGTTTACATTGCCAAAAACAAGCATCAGTCTCAGATAGCAGCTATAACACACCTTTTCTCTTCCTATTCACTCTCAGTTTCGCCTAAGTACACTTCGGAGGCCGGTTGGATTTCAGCTTTCAACGTCGCCCTTCATCCGCACCAGCTCATCACAGGGTTCCCCTTCGATTACCATGAGCGATGCCGCAGATGGCCTCTCCGGAGGGAATGTTGGTAATGGTACTGATGTAAACTCTACTACTGCTGCTCTGAGCAGCACCACAGCTACTCAACAGGACATCCTAGAAATTCTCACAGAAACTACCACCATCGCTGCCGTAGAAACTACGGCTACACAAACTGTCTCAGAGGCTATCACCAAAACCGTCACAGAAGCTGCCATCACTGTCGCCACGGAAACTGCTACAAAAACTGTCACCGAGTCCACTACTACAGCCGTCGCTGAAACAGCTTCGGAAACTGTCAAAGAAGCTGCCATCACAGCCACCGCAGAAGCTGTTTCAGAGGCTATCACAGATGCTAGCAACCACAGGCCATAACAAATGCTACCACCACAGCCATCACGAATGCTACCACCACGGCCATCACAAATGCTACCACCACAGCCATCACGAATGCTACTACCACGGCCATCACAAGCACTACAACTGAAGCACTCATAGAAGCCGTCAACCAGACATCAGGTACTCCCTGTCTTCTTTTGTTGGTTAGAACTAATTTCAACCCAGTTTTTGTTTTCAGGAGGAGTTAATGAGACTACAACCACTACGACAGTTGATGTCACAGCCACCATACAAGCTGCGGTCGCTAACATAACAAGTTCGTAAAATTATAACTTCATGCCACTGTTGCCCTTCAGACACTGGCTTCTTTGATTGAAATGTGGGGCCGTTTACCTGAGCAGGGAGAATCCCTACCCTTCAGGGTAAGCAATAGATACCTGTCTGATACTGAAACACGCTATTGGAGGGCTGTTTAAGCAGCAGCAGACGGAGCTGACGATGAAAAGACAGCCCACTAGTAAAAATCAA